ATTCTAATGAGGTTTGTCACCTCTGCGCTTAATGTACATAAGCTTACCTCAGCATGTTGTACTTATTTCAACAGTTTTTAGAAATCAATAGGGAATCTATTTCCTCAACTTGTATTTTGAATGACCTACTCCCAAATTAAGAATAAGACCTAATGTACAATTTCATATTTGAATATTGAATTGAGATTATTTTCATGATGATCCAGTGGCCTGCTATTTCATCAACATATTTGAACGGTTGGTTTCTGTATGTTTAAAATCAAATTTTAACCTCAGTGTGACCAAATGCCTTTCTTTTGCGTTGTTGTAATCAGCAAAATGTGTGACAAGGGTTCTCTAGTGACCATTATAGAACCATGGTGTTCCTATAATACTATTATATACTATAAATTGCCGAAAACCAGAAGATGTATTGTATGTTTTGTTGACCGTAAACAAGTTCTACTCGGGTGCCTGATAAAAAATGCACGGAAGTTTCCCCCACTAGTAAAGCTGGAATGTATACATATGACCTATACTAAGTCAGTATGATGTAAAAACCAATCAAACAAATAAGTTCAATTAAAAATTGCCATGAAGTCATAATAGGCCAAGCCCCATTGTCATGTTGTTCCCTATAAATGAAGGTACTGCGAATTCACTTATATTCGTGGGCATGAAATTTCGTGGTTTTATCAAAACGGGCATTTTCGTGGGTTCTTAAATTCGTGGATTTTCGTTTTCTTGTTTAAAAAAATTTAGTAACCTAATGCAAAGTAATCTAAAACTTAATCACCGAACATTTTTACTTACAACATGTACATATCTTTACTTGTCACACAGCGCGTGTCAATAAATTTAATACTTGCCTCTGGGCATAAGTCTAATATAGCACAATTACTGCCGATAATTGACAGCAATTAACACATTTATGTTTCATGATATGCACCTCCATTGGACACACTGCCCCTGTAATTCGCCGATGTTAACATCGCATAATTTATACGACACCTGGCAAGTTTAAAAGTTTACATCCTTAATTGGTCTTAACATATTTGACAGTAACTACGCGCTACGTCACAGCGACTGTGTAAATAAATGCATATACTGTAAATTATTCTCGGTAAATAACACAAGTATATGTGGATCTTGTAAAAGTCGATGGCGTCTGATTTTTACGGAATAGCATTTGCACAAATACAGATAAAAATTCATTATACTGGCTCATTTAAAAACGACAAAAGAATGTACAATAAATCTGTTTTAGCGATCGTATTTTTTTTATAGCTTTGTGTACTTACGACATTAATATCAAAGACTTTTTTAAGTTAATAAGAGCAAACTGACAATTTTTATTAGCGCTAATTAATGCACTGCCTGGGTTCCCATGTTTACTCGATTATGTCAAGTATTCTTGTTAACACAATCAAGTCCTAGTAGACTACAACGATCAAGTATGTATATGCGACATTTGTGACAGTAAATTAAGGACATTGTATAATCGAGTTTTCTTTCAAGTTTCTTAAATATTGCAAACGGATTTAATATGTCACTAACCTGATTATCTGTCTGTATTTACATCCATTTCACGAAATATCGGCCGGAAAATAGCCGACGCATGTTTGTAATATATAGAACAAAGACTGGGTAAGAAGTATTTGTTGGGATAAAAGTTCGTCGGATCTTAAATTCGTGGATTGACCTACCCACGAAAACCACGAAAATTCGTGCCCCACGAATAATAATGATTTTACAGTATAAACTTTTGGTCACAGAGCCTGCCCTTGAAAATATTTTTATCTAATTTTACTGTTATGCAGGGTAAGCATGGGGAAGTGATCAGTCAGAAAGATCTTGATGAATTGTTAGACAGAAGTGATCTTGTTGCACAGTTTGAGAAGTCAAAAGAAAAGAAACAAGGTATGTGTTTTCACTTTTTTATCCCCCACCGAAAAGGCGGCGGGGGATATAGGAAAGTCTCCGTCCGTCCGACCTTCTGTCCGACATTTTTGTCAGGAGCATATCTCTAAATGTATTTGAGTTATCAACTTGAAACTTCATAGGTGGATAGACCTGATTGAGGAGGAGTGCAGTGCACAAGAATGATAACTCTACCCTGCATAATTTTTGAGTTATTGCCCTTTGTTATTTTTCAAAATTGATTTTTGTCCAGAGCTCAAAAAGCCTATGAGATATCAGCATGAAACTTCATAGGTGCATAGATCTCACTCAGGAGGTGTGCAGTGCACAAGAATGATAACTCTACCTTTCATAATTTTTGAGTTATTGCCCTTTGTTATTTTTAATACTTAATTTTTCACCTGAGTGGAGCACAACCCAAAAAGTGTTTGAGATAGCAACATGAAATGTCATAGGTGGATTGATCTTATTGAGGAGGAATGCTGTGCGCAAGAATGATAACTCTTCCCTATACAATTTTTGAGTTATTGCCCTTTGTTCTTTTTCATGCTATTTTGTCCTGAGCTTATCTCAAAAAGTATTTGAGGTATCAACTTGAAACTTCTTAGCTGGATGGATCTCATTGAGGAGGAGTGCAGTGCACAAGAATGATAACTCTACCCTGCATAATTTTTTAGTTATTGCCCTTTGTTATTTTTCAAAATTAATTTTTGTCCAGAGCATAACTCAAAAAGCCTTTGAGATATCATTATGAAACTTCATAGGTGCATAGATCTTACTCAGGAGGTGTGCAGTGCACAAGAATGATAACTCTACTTTTTATAATTTTTGAGTTATTGCCCTTTGTTATTATACCCCCAAAAACGAAGTTTGGGGGGGTATATAGGAGTCACCCGGTGGTCGGTTGGTCGGTCGGTCGGTCCAGACGTCCGTTGCATTTTCCTTGTCCGGACCATAACTTTAAGACTAATAGTTGGAATTCAATATAACTACATACAATGGTCAAGCACATTGAGAGGAAGTGCAGTGCACAAGAACCATAACTCTATCTTGACTAATTACAGAGTTATTGCCCTTTGTTACTTTTCCATTGCTTTCTTTTGTCCGGACCATAACTTGAAGACTAATGGTTGGAATTCAATATAACTACATACAATGGTCAAGCACATTGAGAGGAAGTGCAGTGCACAAGAACCATAACTCTATCTTGACTAATTACAGAGTTACTGCCCTTTGTTACTTTTCCTTGTCCGGGGCATAACTTGAAAACTACTGGTTGGAATTCAAAACAACTTCATACAATTGTCAAACACAATAAGGGGAAGTGCAGTGCACAAGAACCATAACTCTATCTAAAGTAATTACAGAGTTATTGCCCTTTGTTACTTTTCCATTGCTTTCTTTTGTCCGGAGTATAACTTGAAGACTAATGGTTGGAATTCAATATAACTACATACAATGGTCAAGCACATTGAGAGGAAGTGCAGTTCACAAGAACCATAACTCTATCTTGACTAATTTCAGAGTTATTGCCCTTTGTTACTTTTCCTTGTCCAGAGCATAACTTGAAAACTACTGTTTGGAATTCAATACAACTTCATACAGTTGTCAAGGACATTAAAAGGAAGTGCAGTGCATAAGAGCCATAACTCCATTTTGACAAAATACAGAGTTACTGCCCTTTGATACTTTTCCTTGTCTGGAGCATAACTTAAAACATACTGGTTGAAATTCAAAACAACTTCATACAATGGTCAAGCACAAAAAGAGGAAGTGCAGTGCACAAGAACTATAACTCCATATTCAGTATTTATAGAGTTATTGCCCTTTGTTCCTTTTCTTTGTCTTTCTGGACTTATTACAGAGTAATTCAATAAAACTTCATCAATGGCCAACCACATTGAAAGGAAATGCAATATACAAGAACCACAACTATCTTTAATTGCCCACAACCATAACTCTATATTTCAATTCTTTTACAAGATATTCTGTTACTAGTAACATCCTCATTTCCGAAGCAGTCTTGTGGGGGTATTAATCACATTTAGTGATAGTTCTAGTTTTTCATACTTAATTTTTCAATTCAATTTTTTTCGTAAAAGTATTTGAGGTATCAACTTGAAACTTCATAGGTGGATAGATTTTACTGAGGAGGGATGTGCAGCACACAAGAATGATAACCTACCCTGCATTATTTTTCAGTAATTGCCCTTTGTTATTTTCAGCCATCAGTATTCACATAGGTTTCAAATCTGTAATCACTATAGCCATCAGTTTTCATTACCAAAAGACCTTAAAATGGAGTTATTCTGCTCTACTACATATACATTCTTCCAATGAGCAAACACATTCAGCGGGGGATGGCCATGTTGACATGGCTCTTGTTGTTCATTGCTTTGCAAATAATGATATAAATGTATATTTTGTGAATTTGGAAACAATTCTTTTGCAAAATCTTCTACTTGGATAACATAATAAAGAAGTATTAGAGACTATTAGTACTTAGAGACACTTATGGTCAGGGATTTTTTTTGTGCCCCCACTATTGTGGGGGGGGGGGCATTTAGATTTACCCTTGTTTCTTTTAAGATAAAGTATCACATGAAATTTCACACAGGTTTCCCAGATGATTATAAGCTACCATTCAATACTCAAATGTCCCTAGCATGTTTACTTTACTGACAGAAGTTGTAAAATTCCTGGTCAAGATTTTGTTGCTTTGTGAAGTTGGAAAATTCTTGGTTGGTCAAGATTTTGTATGCAAGATCTTCGTCTACAAGCAAAGTTTCAAGATTTCATTTTAGAGTAGCTACATATTATGTGTCTATCTCATAGGTCTTGTTTAATTTTTGTAGAAACTCCTGAGGACAAGACAAACTGAAACCAAACACTTGTATAAAAGAAGCCTATAGAACATTACTACATGAGACACGGAGAGAGATTTGTGCAGTGGTTTCTAAGAAATCAATGTAACTGATAACACTGAAGTGATACTAGTGTTGATTACAGTATGTAACCATGCCCTAAGATAATTTGAAGCATTCATGAGAAAGGGATTAAGTGACATGGATATTTTTATGGACGCAGTCTGTTGTTGAGTTAGCAATTGGAATTTCAGCACTTGACAACAAAATTGGAGGAAATGTGTGCGACAATTTCATAGACACAATGAAATTTGACCAAGTTTTTACACAAAATGGTGCTATAGAACATTTATTAGATATAGTGCGAAAAGTATTGAGATGTTTGTGTTTTATAAAAAAAAAAATGGGTTTTTTTTTTGTTTGTTTTGTTTTTTTTTTTTGCAAGAAATGTTTGATACAGCTTTTGCTTTGTCCAATCCTTTCTTCCTTCTGTTACTCTCTTGGCACCTTCATTTATTTACAGAAATTTTTTTAATTTGCTGCGTTTACATCATCTCTACCTATAGGTAGGGGTCACATTTATTGAGTGACAGTCGAATGTGCTAAGATTAAAAATAGATCTTATTTTCGAAAGGTAAGGTCGTGTTTTAACTTTGTTGAAGTGAAGTCAGGGAGAATTTTTATCATTGTTAATATTTTTGTTTTATCCATTTAGCTTACTGTTACACAGCATGCTGAAGGTGAGCTACTATGATCACTTGTTGGCAGTCTTCCATCTGTTTTTCTGGAATTAACCCTGGGCAATCGTCTGCTAACATTTTTCAAATAATTTTGTTGATCTATTTTAAAATTTCGTTAATTGTGGAAACTCCTGAAAAAAAAAAATTTGGAAATTATTTTGACATGTAATCTAATAGAAATGATTCTAAGATAGAGGTCTGCAAAGACATTTTCAATATCTTAGAGATTTTACAAAAAGACAAGGGATATATGAATGTAGAAAAATCATTGCACACTTTGGTGAGCGATTCAGGGCCATCATGGTCCTCTTGTTATAATGTATATATACGCTGTATGATTTTATATTGTTGATGCTCTTAATCATTTATTATACTTTGTCTAGTATAAAGTAAAGTCTGTAATAAACACACCTCCCGAAACACTGAAATCAGTTCAATTCTGTCCCTCTTTTTGAAGGGGGGAAAAATTTAAATGCTGATGGGTCTACTAATTGAAACACTTAAACTCATAAGCAGTAATCTTGTATGCATGATTTGAAATTTAATGTTTGATAAGGTACCAAGAATTATTCTGTTTATAAACTAAGAATTATCCTCTTTGAAAAATATGCATGGTGGAGTTTATTACAGATTTTAGACTATGTATGAATTGAAAATATTTTTATGTGAAGTTGACAATTTAAAATTTTTAACATTGTAAATAATTCAGTCATATATTACTCAGGAACATAGAGTTTTAAAGTTAAAACTGTTGTATAAATGGTTTCAGTTTGATGTTAAGGTTGCTCAATCAAGCTAAAAATAAATTTTGGAATTATATAGTCAGAAATAATGGGGTTTCAAATATGTCCCATCCAGGGGTAATTGATAAAACATAAGCTCACATTAAAAAGTTCATTAAAATCTTTACTGGAAAGTTCAAAGACTAGAGCTTGAATATTTGGTTAGGACATGTATATAAATCATACTTCTGAAATTATAAAAAGGCTTGTCCTGGGTAGACTTGTATTAGAAAATTGTAGTTAAAAGCATCCTGTCCAAAACTACATAGCCGAGAACTATAAAAAAAATTAATCCTGTACAAAAATTGTAAAAGTAATGTCCTGTTGGTAAAAATTTGCCCTTTCCTGGTTTAACTAATCTTTCAATACACTTAAATGAAAAGTACATTTCAATCTTAGTACCTATTTGTCTACTACTTATTGTAATGTCATCAAAACAGACCCCTTCTCCAGAGTCCTTTTGGTGTAGATAATATAGATAATAATAATTCTTGAAGGAAACCTAGACCCACTTGGTAATTAGAATTCAATAATTGTCTAGTTTGCGTTTGTAAAAGTTGCATTAATAATGCCTTTAAATCTGCATAATAAGTAGCCCTACCCAGGGAAATTACCAGTGTTATATAATATAGATATAGTAAGAAGTTTTAACCAACTCCTGAAATCTTCTTCCACCAGTAAAGTTGCAAAGTCAACATATAACTTTTTACAGTGTTGGCACAACTTAAAATCTAACGAGAACAAACCAATAAACTTCTGATGACATGTCCAGCTTAGAGATATTTACTATGTGCCAATTTTAAAAAGCTGTTTTTAAATGTTTATACAAAGATGTATCCATAATCAAAATACATCTCATCTCATTTGTATAGTTTCCACTCGCATATCTGTCAGGCATTGTTTTCATTAATATGTTTCATTTCCCATTTTCAGGTGTATGTATATTGCAAAAACTGTGTTTAAAAATGTCGAAGATTATGTGATATTCAACTGTATTTTTAAGAAATCAGTACATGAAATGGAGTATTGAAATAATTAAAAAAATTATGTAGCTTGATACAATACTTGAACATTTTTGGGACAGTTCACTTCTTTCTTGCATGTTTTTGTGTTGAATTGCCAGAAAAATCTTACAAAAAAAGCATGTTTTGTTTAATGTCTTAACATCTTCCATTTATAAACAATGCTTATAATTATAAGAGTGTAGAAATTAAATACCTATATCCAAATAAAACAGAGTTATTTGTTTATAACTTACAAAACACTAGCGCTTTATTTTGTGATGAAGTAATTTTGATTTGTGTTTATTTGCAATTTAGTGAGCAGCATCTCTTCTGCCCGGACATTGCCCGCTTGTCAGGGTTCTGCCCAGACATTGCCCGCCTGTCGGGGGTTCTGCCCGGACATTGCCCGCCTGTCGGGGTTCTGCCCGGACATTGCCCGCCTGTCGGGGTTTCTGCCGGGGGTTTTGCCCGCCTGTCGGGGTTTTGCCCGGACATTTCCCGCCTGTCCGGGGTTCTGCCCGGACATTGCCCGCCTGTTGGGGTTTTGCCCGGACAATGACTGCCTGTCAGGGTTCTGCCCGGACATTGCCCGCCTGTCAGGGTTCTGCCCGGACATTGCCTGCCGGTCAGGGACTATTCTTTTATGTGTTGGGAGACTTTTTTAAAACAAATAGCAGAAAGAAAGCAAAGCATTTCCCAAATTCTTGAGTCAGCATATCAATTTGTCATAAATATGTTAACCATTTCCTAATTTAGGAAAAGGTGTTTAGGATGCTAGCTTTCCAAAATCTGCAAATAACAAAGATATGACAATTTAAACAAATGTTAATAATTTTGAGATGAGGGTCAATGTCATATAAGAATTATTCAACATCTGGGTTACATCAACAGGGTACTTTTTTCCAATTGTAAATCAAATCTGAAAATAACAAAGTTCTAAGCTTAATTAAAAAATCTGACCTTTAAGATCGGCATGAAAATTACGGCGGGAAATAGATACCAAACATTGAAAATGTTTTTTGAGGAAAGGAGGAAGGCAAATATTGCCAATAATAAAAGAATTCTAGCGGACATTGGTTAGTTTTTAGCTCGACTTTTTTTTTTTTAAAAAAAAAGTAGAGGTATTGTTATAGTCAGGTCGGCGTTGCCGTTGCCGTCCGCAAACTTGTACCTGGATCATAACTTTTTTATTTCTTGGTGTATTGTCTTCATACTTGGCCACAACAACCCTTGGGACAAGACCTTTCAGTAGACCACACTAACCTTGACCTTCATCCATAAATGACCTTGACCTTCAAGGTTAAAAGTCCAATTTGTGCGTGTTCATGCTGTTATTGGCTGTAACTTTGTTATTTTTGAATGGATTGTCTTCAAACTTCAACATAGTAATCTTCAAAGATATCCCTTAAAAATTACCAGCCAGACCTTGACCTTCAGTCATAAATGACCTTGACTTTGAAGGTCAAATTATTGAAATTTTCATTTTTTTTGGCTATTATTGGCTGTAACTTTGTTATTTTTGAATGGATTGTCTTCAAACTTGAACATAATTATCTTCAGGGATATCCCTTAAAAATAACTAGACAGACCTTGACATTCACTCATAAATGACCTTGACTTTGAAGGTCAAATTATTGAAATATTCATTTTTTGGCTATTATTGGCTGTAACTTTGAATTGATTGTCTTGAAACTTGAACATAATAATCTTCAAAGATAACTGTTAAAAATATACCGAAAGACCTTGACCTTCACTCATTAATGACATTGTCTTTGAATGTCAAATTATTGAAATTTTCATTGTTTTGGCGGTAACTGACTGTAACTTTGCTTTTATTGAAGGGATCAACTTCATATTATAACAGAACATTCTTAAGGACCAGACCTTGTTGTTTATTTTTAGAATTGCATGTTACTATTTATAGAATTAGGTGTTTCTATTTTTAGAAATTGCGTGTTTCTATTTTTAGAATTGCGTGTTACTATTTATAGAATTGTGTGTTACTATTTATAGAATTGCGTGTTTCTATGTATAGAATTGCTTGTTTCTATTTATAGAATTGCGTGTTTCTATTTATAGAAATTGCATGTTTCTATTTATAGAATTGTGTGTTTCTATTTTTAGAATTGCGTGTTTCTATTTTTAGAATTGCGTGTTACTATTTATAGAAATTGCGTGTTTCTATTTTTAGAATTGCGTGTTACTATTTTTAGCTCGACTATTCGATAAGAATAAGTAGACCTATTGTAGTCACCCGAGCTTCGGTGTCTGCGTCGGCGTAACCACTTATGTTAAAGTTTTTGTAATAGTTTAAATATTTTCAAAGTCGATTGACATATAGCTTTGAAACTTTGCACACTTGTTCATCATCATGACCCCAACCTGTAGACAGGAGGAGGTAACTGTATCAAGCATTTTGACAGAATTATGCCCCTTTTGAACTTAGAATTTACGTTAAAGTTTTTGTAATACCTCGAATATTTTCAAAGTCCATTGACATATGGCTTTGAAACTTTGCACACTTGTTCACCATCATGACCCCAACATGTAGACAGGAGGAGGTAACTGTATCAAGCATTTTGACAGAATTTTGCCCCTTTTTCGACTTAGAATTTACGTTAAAGTTTTTGTAATACCTCAAATATTTTCAAAGTCCATTGACATATGGCTTTGAAACTTTGCACACTTGTTCACCACCATGACCCCAACATGTAGACAGGAGGAGGTAACTCTATCAAGCATTTTGACAGAATTATGCCCCTTTTTCTACTTAGAATTTACGTTAAAGTTTTTGTAATACCTCAAATATTTTCAAAGTCCATTGACATACATGTATGGCTTTGAAACTTTGCACACTTATTCACCATCATGACCCCAACATGTAAACAAAAGGAGGTAACTCCATCAAGCATTTTGACAGAATTATGCCCCTTTTTCGACTTAGAATTTACGTTAAAGTTTTTGTAATACCTCAAATATTTTCAAAATTCATTGACATAAGGCT